ATAATGATATGGTGTCACATTTGAGAGATAGAAATCTTTGCCGATACACTGTGCCAAATATCTGCCAGTGGACACAACAATGCCTAAAATGTAATCACCTCCTGTTATAAACTGGGAAGGATGAAAATTAAAACCTGATGTACACACTGCTTCTTCTAAGGGTTCCCTAGTAAAAGCCCATTGTGACAGAGTGCCACCCTCAGGCCAAACCTCCTGACGTGCCTTAGTCTGTCTAGCTCAGGAGTTCTTAGCCCTTTTACCAAAGACTTCCTCCTTCAGCCCAGCTCTAGGAAAATAGATTGAAGGGCGCTGTGGATCTTCCTGCTCGCAGAACCCAACAAATCTTGTGTCGGTCCTGAAACACAAAGGGTGGCTATGTAACCTTGCATAATGGGAAATTTTTAATAAATTTATTTATTAAACTAAGGAACCTAAATCTCTAGATACAAAAAGGAGTTTAACCACAGGAAGGCAATAATTTCAGGCACCTGGAATTTGACGTAAAATTAGTACAGTCAACCTAGGTAAATTTAATCTTTACCAGCTTGAATAAATTCTTAGCTTTCACCATATATTCAGAGTTCACTGAAAGAGAACATCTTGGCTTGCTGCTTGGATGTCATTAGACTGATCATCCTTGCTGCTGCTTGCTTTTTTTTTTCTCTTTATTTGAGCACTAATCAAATAATAAACAGAAAATCTATCCTTCTTAAAACAGGTTGTTCATGACCATGGCCGAGCTGCTGAGGGTAGGAGAATCTCAGAGAGCAGCAGCTTTTCAGAGGACCTTGACTTCCCTCCTGCAGAAAGAATCCACAATTCTTCATGTGAGCAATATTCAATATAGTTGGGATGGCTTCCATGTGTACTCTGGCATGCACGGTATTTATCCCTTTAACAAAGAAAAGGGACACTTCAAAATTAAAAATACTAACAACCTAAAATACAAATATACCTAATTATTTTATACGAAGTAGCTAAAAGAGAAGTGTGAGATAAATGCTTATATATTGCTTATATACTGCAACTGTGTGCCTGATCATTGTAATATGCAAGAATTATGTATGCACCTTTTAAAAAATGACCATGCATTGTGTATGCTGAAGAAAGTTGTAGTTGATCCACTCAGGGATTGTACACGAGACAAAAGGGCCAGAATATTGATTGTATATATAAAATAAGTATGAAGCACTCCAGCTGGTATGAAATACTAATTTTATGGCATTTTCTCCATGTTCATTTAATTTGTATGCCGCCCATCCCCCCCACATATACATAAGATTGGTGGTGGTGCAATGGTTTCAGTTTGTACAATCAATTAATGATAGGAATCCTTACAGTAACACTGTAGCCTAGGCTAGTGTTTCTCAGCCTCAGCAACTTTAAGATATTTGGGCTTCAACTCCCAGAATTCCCCAGGTAGCATGTGTGGATTTCAACTGTCAGAATTCCCTAGCCAATATGTGTGGACTTCAACTCGTAGAATTATCCCGCCACAATGGTGGCTGGGGGGTTTTTGGGGTTGGAAGCCATAAAAATTTAAATTTTT